TTTTTTTGGGTTTTTAAATTTTTTTTTAATTTTGTTATTTTTTTTTACTTTTTTTTTTTTTTTTTTTTTTTTTTTAATCCTGCATTTGCTAATGTTTAAAGCCTGGTCCTCTACTGAGATATTTAGAACTGTCTTGTTCTTCTCTGGGTTGCTCGAGTTCGCTACCATTGTAACTGGAAGCTGAATAGAAGCCATTGAGCTCTGGTGAGTTACCATTGCACCTGGTCTATGGGGTGATGTGCCACTTATGAGCAAATTGCAGGCTCCACCACTCAGCATTTTCTAGTTAGTATCAAAACCTCACGCAAACAACTTCTATTGTGCATAGAGAGATCCACAAACTGACAAATAGATATATTATTAACTGCACTAATTTCAAAGAGGTTTCAAGCCAGCAGGTACAGTGAGGGGTAGCACCCATGACAAGCCACAGGTTTCACAGGGCTGAAGGTACAGAAGCTTGATTGCATCCTCTCTTCTGCTGCAGTGTGGTTGGGTGGCCACAGACGCTATTTAGACACCTGAAGGTGCCTTCAGAAAAGCTGAACATGATGATAGTGCAGGTTAGATAGGGCCGCTGGGTCTCGAGAACCCACTAACAAAAAGGTTTCTTCCTTCATTACATGAACTGATGGAAATATGGACAAGGATTTTGTTTTTCTCAAGTCTCAGTTACTAAATAGGGAAAAATAGAAGAGCCACAAATGCAGTTGAGTGAAAAAAGCAAAATAAATCTGTGTTTTACCACAGGGATAAAAGGAGTATCTGACACCTGCAGCACTCAGCGTTGCCAGAGAGGAAACAGTCCCAAAGGGTGACACAGTGTGAGGTGAGGATTCAACCTAATTAATAACCAGTACAACCACTGAAGTTTTATGGTTTTATGTTGGAGTGCAGCTACTGCAAATAGACTGAGAGAAGGCAGATGGATCCTATTTTTCTCAGAGGATTATTTTTTGCTTGACCCCAGCTGCTGCTCTCTGTGACCTCCTCCACACTGTCACCCTGACACAAGCTTTCCCTCTCCACCCAAGAACAGGCAGATTGGTTTTTCTTGTACCAGGTATGCCTGCTCCGAGATTTATCAACCAGCATCTGAATTATTTCAAACCAGGCTATTTAATTCATTCATTCATGAGCAACATTACCTGTTTTTCAGCAGTTGAAGCTGACACTTCCCAGCAACGTCCCAGCCGATGACGACTCCCCAGTCCCTGTGACACCAGAAGTGACTGATGACGAATGAAGGCCTCGCAGAAAACCTCCCGACGTGCCGCCCGCCGTCACTGCAGAGCCTTGAGGACATCTGGTCACCTTGTCGGAAACATTTGTCACGCCAGTTGACAGGCCCACACAGGTCCTTCAACGAAGCACAGTTTATTCACATCCTTGCAAGAATGGGTGACCTAAACAAGCAGGCACACCCATAGGCAGGTGAGTAACGGTTTATATTCCCTATTCCCAGTGCAAGTTCCCTCCTCTGTTTCCCCACTGGCTGGGCACTCCAGGGTTTACAGCCCATCCGACGCTTCAAATTATCCTATAAGTTTCCCGCCCCTGTTTACACATTCCATTCTAGCAGTTTACTTTTTACCTTTTCAGGTAAAATTTTGACCTTTCTTGCCCTCTTGGGTGTCTTCCCAATTAACAAACCTACAGGTGTCATCCTACCCTGAGCAGCAAGACAGCAGTGGCTTTGTTGGGTCTTATCCTGGGCCATAAATCCTGCTCCATGTTCGGATCCCCAGATGGAGCCCAATTCACTCCCTCAGTTTCTTGGGCTGCAAACCACTCCTGGTGTCCTTAAAATGTGCAGATATCTCATTTCTCTCAAACAAACTATATATATAAACCACTCCTGGTGTCAGGTATCTCGCTTATCTCAAACAAACTATGTATTTCTAACACTAGGAGATATACATATATATACATATATATATATATAAACATATGTATGGATATGTATATATATCTATAATGTTATCATGTGTGTGTGCCTGTGGATATTATGCTTTTCTTCCTTTTCCTCTCAAGTACAATTTGAATTTCTTTCTTTTTACACATTATTTCTCATGGATCATATTCAATAACCCAATTTTAATCTAATTTAGAAGAACATTGTATAAAATGGTGTCACAAGTAAGATCCTACTTTTGTTTTTCACACCTAGGGAAATTACCTGCTTTTTAAATCATAAGACACTTCTTTGATGTCATCAGGCACACCTATCCATCTATTTGGGGAGTTACAGACAAAAGCTACTAACTCCGAGGACCTTATTACAAACATAGTGATTTAATTTTTTTCTTTTATTTCATTCTACTCCAGATAATTTCTGAAAAGTGAGATTTTTTTTTTAAGTAAACATCCCTTCAAAGTAAGAATAATGGGTAATATAAACAGAGAAAAGTGAAAATTTCTCTCATTTAATATCACCTCAATTATTCATTTGTCAATTAGATTATTTTTTGTAAGAAGAATTCATGTCTCTCTACAGTACCCTTAAGCATTTCAGAAGTGGAAAAGACCTAGCACTGTAAATTCCTATATCACAAATTATTTATATAAATTTTTTATTTCTCTGTATTCTTCAGTAACTTTTTATTTTGACAGCTTGGCTCACAAAAGACATAGCTGCTGCGTGGCCAGGCGTGCGTGCGGGATCCCCCTCTCCCCGGTTGGGCCGCGCTGCCCTGGTGATCGTGTTCTGCTTGATGCCCGTCGCAGGGACCCGCCGCGCTGCTGTTAGAAGGGCAGGGTTGTTTTCCTGCCCGGGTGGATGAAGCAATTCCGTTGCTGCAGGGCGAACGAAACAAACAAAAAGCCCAGCCGAGAACACAACAGGAGCAAATGCATTAATAGATTAGTTTAAGTGTAGCATGAAGCTGCTCTATTTCTTGTTCAAAGACTTCATGCTGGCGTCGCTACAGGGAAAAACCCATCCCTTCCATTAGCACAAACGTCTGTGTGCGTGGCCAGCAAGTCTGACCGGGAGGTTGATTGGAGACCTAAATTAGTTTGGTGAATTTTGTTGTATTGTTTTGCAGTACCCATTTGAGTTAAGCTGGTGTGCCAAGCTGCTTTGCCATGCAGCTGTGTAAACACTTGTGCAGTTCTGAGGAGGGGGCATCTGGGGGAACGTGAAACTGCTTCTCTTTAACATAGTCAGGTTTTTGTACTGTAGAGCTGCTCAACAGAAGCTGTAGAGTGCTCTGTAGGCCTGGGTGATGCCCTTCTTCTGTGGTGTTGAGGGATTTATTTAAAATCCAGTTCTTGTAGACAGCTCTTACATATGTGGGATTTTGGTGGAGGTTTTTTTGGTGGGGTTTGGTTTTGTTTATTTTCCTGGAAGTACACTTTGAAACCAGACTATTCTCTTGGCAAATTTGCTGGGCATTCTTAATCCCCACCAAGTAGGAAATGTTGGGTGCACAGGATAGAAAAGACCACTTAGGTCATGGAGTGTTCTGCTTTGTGGTGACTAAAATACCATTACTGTCTGTTTCAGAGAAGTCTGACCAACCACTAGTCCAAAAGCACAAAACAGTCTCTTAAGACTGTAAACAAACTCCACAAGTGTAACGTTAAGTTAATGTCAAGTCTAGGTTAAGGAGCAAAAGGCTTTTCTGGTGCTGCAATTCCTTGCACTGGCAGAGTATCTGTGAAATGTCCAGCAGATCCTGAGAAGTACATTATGCCTGACAGCACAGAGAAGGATAAAAAGGAACAGCAGTCGACCCTGCTGATCTTGGAGAATAATCTCAGCCAATTCTATGAGGTTTTGCCCAGCACCCTAAATCTGATGGCAGCCTTAGCTGAGTTGGTGGGATATACCTGCAAACTCTGCTTCCATTGAATCTCTAGTTGCCACCAGTCTACTCCATTTCAATCACTTCTTATGAACAGCAGACTTAACAGTGAAACTGCGCATCCAAGGATAAGGGGAAATTCACACAGGGATTATGGTTTGTGAGGTTAAAGCATCTTTACTGGAAAACGAAAATTTCTTAATCAGAAATGGTGCTGCTGATGTTTCCTGAAGGAATTTATATATTTTTTAAATACAATATTCTCTTTTTTTCTAAAATGTAGCATTTATTTTAATTGGGAGGAGGGGATTCTTCCTGCTTTTTCAGTGGTAGCAAATCAGTGAATGACCTGTTGCCACACTTATGCAGTGTGTGCCTTTTGGTCAAAGATACCTGCATTTTATTGAAAATAAATTAACAATCCCATCTCAAGTTACTTTTTTATATCCCTGAGGAGTTACAGTACTGACCCTTTTAAATGTTTTTTTTTTTTAGTCTTCTAAAGATCTCAAATGTGACCATTCATTAGAGAGCACAAGTGTATGATACTAAATGTGAATGATGTATAATATATTTTCAATTAATCCAGGAAAGCTAACTCCAAATAAATACTAATTTTTTTTCTATCATGCTTTTACAGCAGCAGTATCAAAGTGCCCTGTTTTGGGCAGACAAAGTAGCTTCACTGTCTCATGGTAAGTACATTGTTTTTCATTAACTTCTTTATGATAGTATTCTGTCTTGGTTTTGTTGCAGTTTTTGTAAAGCTCTGTGGCTAAATGTTGGAGTTTTGAGTTTGATGTAAGTGCTTTTCTGTCGTCTTTGGAATGCCATTTTTCCAGAGCAGGGCCAGTCTTCCTTCCATTTCAGACTTGGTGTTAAAATTAATGTTTGATCAAACCTAAAGGTTTACTTACCTTAAGAGACAAAAAAAAAGCTACGAGAGACAGTGGTCGTTTCCTGCAGGATTCACTGCTGCTCAGAGGGGCATAGAAAGCAGGTTGACGCAGTGACTTAGTGCTAGTGAACTGTCTGCCTACAGCCATGGTCCATTTGCACTTCTTAAACTGATTCTAGGGGCCTGATCCCACAGAAACTTTGGTTGCCAAAAACGTGGGAGAGTACTAAGCTATTCTTCTGCAATTTTATCTTCAAGCTGCAGAAGACTAATGCTTTCACTTCCACCGCTGTTAGGTTCCTGCTTTTTTTTTAGTTCTAGGTTGTTTTTTTCTGCCCTGTGTCCAAAGGTGGGGTGACCTACAACTGCCCTTTTGTTTTTTGCTAATATATATGTATCTGGGTCACTGTCATCTTTCTCATGACACACCTTTAGCATGAGATTCTTTATATTCACTGTCCAGTGCACTGTCTTTTAAGTTAAAATTTGGGGTATTTTTATTATAATCTCTCATTAATAGGTACTGTGTGTTGTTATACACACACGTAAGTACATGTGTATCAACCTTTGTAACTCAATAGGATGCAAGAATAGGGGAAGAATAGTTTTCCAGTGAAGCAAAAAGTGAATATTCTATATAAAAGTGTTAAAAGATGTATTATAAATTAATGACTTGTAATTTGTTCTTTAATTTTAGAGGAACCACAAGATATCTACTGGTTGGCCCAATGTCTTTACCTAACAGCTCAGTATCATAGGGCATCACATGCCCTTCGATCACGTAAGTTGGATAAGGTGAGTAATTTTGGTCAAAGACTTACTACTGTTACTCCACTTTTAAACCTCTGCTCCTAAGCACAGTGATTACCTCACCATCAGAGAAGAAGATTTTTGGGAAAAGTACCTAAAAACCTGCATGATGTATTTTAGCTGAACCAAGTATAGCCCTGTATTCAATTAGTCAGATTGAAACTCCAGCCTGCAGATCAGGCCAAGGAAAACAAAGGATCACTTCAGGTGTAGTTGCTTAAATTGTCCTTCCAGTCTGCTAATGACTGGTGAAGGCAAGAGTGAAATCAAGTGTCCTTTGAGAGTTTAGTAGTAGAGAAATTATTACAGACTTAGTCATTTTAGTCAGAAGAGATTTTTTTAAGATGAAAGGGATGATGAAGCCATACACCTGAAAAAGGAGAGCAAAAGGGAGTCTAGCAGTGTAAGTAAACGTGTTCATTCTTTAATATCTCTGAAACTTCTCTTTCAGTTATATGAAGCATGTCGCTACCTTGCAGCCAGATGTCATGTGAGTACACTTTTTAACCTCTACTGGAAACAAACCAAATTGAATCAAAGGTGTCTGTGTTCATTGGAATAAAAGGTTTAAATTCTGTGACAGCTGGTTTAGTTCTTTTTGCCTTTGGTATGGTTGCTGGAGTATTCTGAAGAAATCCAACTGACCTTTTTTCCCAGGAAGGAAAACACTTCTCTAATATTTTGTGGGGAAAGAATATGAACCATTTCTGTCTCATCTTTTGATGTTTACATTTTTAATGGGTTGGTGTCATCTGACCAGAGGAGATGCGATTTATGGTTGTATAAATATGGTTAGCAGTTTTATGCTTCTGTCTAAAATGTGATATATAAATAGTAAAATGCAGTGCTTTCACCAGAAAACTGAATCAATTGGTAGATTAAATACAGACATTTGAAATAGAATAATTTGCTGCTTCTAGAATAAGATCATTATGTTTTATTAAAACTTGTACTGACTATTTTTAGAAGTATTATCTGCTTCTATGGTTGCAGAATGCTGAGTAACAGACTTTTCTGTAGGTGTTAATACGCAAAAAATCATAAAATTATACATGACTAGTAAAATACTTGGGTGTAATTATAAAAAGACTTATATCCAAAAAAGAATTTTCATTCATGAAAAACCTGCTCATAAGTACTGGCTGTTATCATCTGCATCTTTGAAAGGCAACACTGTGTTTATTGGTGCAGATGTTTCAAATCCCAACCTTTCTTGTTTTTTTTTGTTTTTTACATGCACATGTTTGGCTAGTATGCTGCAAAAGAACATCAACAGGCCTTGGATATTCTTGATATGGAAGAGCCAATCAACAAAAGACTTTTTGAAAAGTACTTGAAGGATGAAAGTGGATTGAAAGACTCTGCCACAGACTGGGAGATGTCACAATCCTCTGTAAGTGACGTTTTTTAAGAAATATTTTTTATAATCAAGAAAAAAAGAAGTGTGAAGTCAGTGATTTTACAGCTGCATGATTCTGTATTTAAGCTTTTTTTTTTTAATAACATAATATTCAAAAATGCTTAATTGTTCTTTCAGTCACAAGTCATGTGTTAGTTTGCCTGTATGACAGTAACTCAGTTTGCAAAAATGGAGAGTGCTTTTCAACAACTTCCCATAAATTATATGCAGACACTTCACAGGAAGTTCATGATTTAGCATTGTTTTTTAGAGTCTCTTAGCTCTATGTTGGAGTTTCAGCCTTGACAATGTAAACTAATGTTTCTTTTAATTGGGCTGCAGGTTCTGAGATAACAAAGCAAGTTTTCTTTTTCTTCAGTTATTTTTAATGAAATATTTCCTTAATCACTTAACCGTTTTTCTCAGTGGGATATTTTTGATAACACATGAAAGTTATGTGATGTGAAAATCGAAGTTTTTGAAACTCAGTGAAAAAATTCTCTATAGGCACATAGTTAAAAGGGATCAGTGCCACATGTAGGTTGAAGAGTCAGTGGAGAGTCTTTACTTTTGGAATTTGAAATTGAAGTCTCTTATCTGAAACTCCAGTGAAGGGGATTGACAACCAACATTTTCCATGTAAGACTGAAGTAGCAAAATGGGTTAAATCATCTTTTGAATGCTGGTGTTAATGGGCTTAAGGGAGAAGTGGATTAGACTGAGTTACCTCAGGGCACCTTAGTGGGAACGTCTAAATTACTGCTGAAGCAAAGGAAGAAGTCCTTAACTTTGGCTGGTTATACTTGCTCCCTGTTTCATGGTACTCTGGCCCTGGTGTTTGGGTGGCTGATTATTGAACTAAATTGGGAAACTATTTTGAATGAAAAAACACAGCCAAATAAATTCATCAGTCCTTACCTCACAAATGCTCGTGAAGCAGAGAGAACTACTGCAGTAGGTATTGCTACAAGAAACTTAGATCAAAGTCCTCTTTAGGAATGTATCTTTTTCAAACTTAATTTGATTAATTTGCAGAGATACTAGTTACAGAGTAAGAATGACTGATGTTTGAGCTGGTAATAAGATTACCATTGTAGCAGGAGCTCCCTGGGTTTTATTGTCTGTTAATGCAACTATACATATAGATACAATATATAGATATATATATAGATATGTAGATACAATGTGTGTCCACTTTCCCAAATAACTTGCTGACACTTGTATAGCCACCTGGTAGTTGAACATCCATCTATGGAGGTTTGAAAGAATATGTTAGTTATTAGACATCTTAGCAAAACTTTAACTACGGTAATAATCTTTCACGATTTAATTTCTGAAACATCTGTGTTTTGAATTGAAAGGAAGGGTATATTTTTCTGCTTATAGTGGTTGAGTCCATTGATTTAGCCTTTTTCATGTCTATTGTGGTGATTCTTGTCTTGCATTAAGTATGTGGTTTATTAGTCAACAAAGTAAATTGCATATGGAAGTGGTGGTTCCCCTGTACTGAGAATGGGGAGAATTTAGTATAACTAGCTTACAACTTAGTATCAGAGAGCTGGATGGCAGAAGTAGAAAAGATAAACTCTAACCCGCCTGGTTCTTGCAAGCATGTGTTTGTTTGGCAGTAGATAACCTGACAAAGCATTCATTTTATTTGAAGACAGTGCTAGAAAACCAGGTTTCATCATACATGAAATGCTTTTTACTTTTCAGGGAGTCCATTTGATTTGTGCTCAAAACCAAATTGCAAACATTGATTCAGTCTTTGACCTCCAGCCCTGCTTTTCCACCAGATCAAGAGCTCTATATGCCTTTTGCGGGGGAAGATCTACGACGCTTTGGATAATAGAACCCTAGCAACATACAGCTACAAAGAGGCCTTGAAGCTTGATGTTTACTGCTTTGAAGCATTTGATCTTTTAACATCGCACCACATGCTCACAGCACAAGAAGGTCTGGATAGCAGTATTTCTCAAATACAGACAAATTTTCCTGCTTTCTCAAGATGCCTTAGTTTTCTGGATAAAAATTAAAGCAATACTATAATTAGCATACTTTAAATGTTAAGAATGGGAAATGTATGAACTGAGGTAAAATTTTAATTTGACCAAATTTAGATTTTATGTATTAGTCATGCAGTGTTCAGGATTGAAAGAAACAGAGTAACCCAGTTGTCCTGTTGGTTAGCTCCAGAAGTTCTCATGCCCTTTGCCTAGCCCGAACAATGTTTTTCCTGTGTTCTCAACATCACAGTCTTTGAATCCACAAAACCCTACTGGTGTTTGCTTACTTATAGTGGGCATTGCTTCATATAGCATTCTTAGTGATAAAATATGACATGTAAAGTAAATAAAAAGTGGTGTTTATTAAACAGTCATCTTTATTAAAGTGTATCTGAAAGTGTAGAAGGAAAAATATAAGAATTCCATTATTCATTTCCATAATTACTAGTATTTTCTGGTTTAGTGTATTTGTGCTGTTATCTTCCTTGTAATATTGGGGTGAGCATCATAAAATTCTTTGCATCTCTAGGTCCTTAAAATGTTGGATCTTGCTATTTCTTCTGTAATATGACAACTTTTTTTTTTCAATTCACATAGAAAAAGAACTTCTTGAATCTCTACCTCTTAGTAGACAATGTACAGAAGAAGAACAAGAGTTGCTTCACTTTTTATTTGAGAATAAATTGAAAAAGGTAAACCTCAAAACTGACTAAAAAAACTAGAGGACTGATTGAAAGTCTGAGCTTCAGATGTAGATTTTCTTGGTTTCCGTTTATTCTGAACATTAGAATAAGGGCTCTAGTTTAATTTAATATGGATGATGCAGTAGATATCACTTTATGGGAGGGGTATAATAGTGTTCTGTAAACTTAATCTCTGGTGTGGTGACAACTTGAAATTTTGCTTTTTTTTTTCTTTTAGCTTTATTTCTTGACAAACTTCTAGGTGGGGAAAAAGAACATTAATAATGTATGCAAAATGTCAGTCACATAAACCCATAGGATATAGCAACATTTTTCCAGGCTTTTTTTTTTTTTTTTTTTTTTTTCAAAGATGGTATGAGAACACTGAAAGCCAACTATATACTCAGTATTAATTTCCACAGGCTGTGCTCAAGAGAGTGACACTGACAAGTGTCTTTCATGTGCTAAATGAACTTTTAAGTACATTATAAAGAAGGATTTTACCAAATGCATGTTTGATAGAATCATATCATAGCATCATATTAGAGAATGGTTTGGGTTGGAAGGGACCTTGAATATCATCTAGTTCCAAATCCCTGCAAGGGCAGGGACACCTCCCACTAGACCAGGTTGCTCAAAGCCTCATCCAACCTGGTCTTGATCACTTCCAGGGAGGGAGCATCCACAGCTTCCCTGGGCAGTTTTACAGACTTTCAGCTTAAAGTAACACATTTTAAAAAGCTTAATGCTTCTTAAATACTGTTTTTAGAACTAAAAGTAGTAATAATTACATAACCTGATTTTTAGATTGGTTGTTGTTTCACATATTGTCTCTTTTGTCTTTCAGTATAATAAACCCAGTGAAACACTGATTCCTGAATCAGTAGATGGTCTCCAGGAAAACCTGGATGTGGTGGTATCCTTAGCTGAAAGACACTATTATAACTGTGATTTCAAAATGTGTTACAAGCTCACTTCAGTGTAAGTACACAGACCTACTCTGAGGTTGTTTTTTCATATGTAGTGAAGTATAATTATTATGCCTGGATTTACAGTGAATATCATTGTTTAATGCATTGACATACATAACAATTCGATACAAAGTTTAAGGTATTTAAAAATGTGTAGTTTGTGTCTGGCAAGACACATTATTTCTATGAAACGTAGCAGAAGTATCCAAAGCACTGTGCTACACTTCCCTTCCTCCATCCTCTTCTTTACTCTGGTAACTTCAGTTTTGTGTGTTCTCTACCTACTTTTTTTAGCCTTCAGAATTAACAGATTTGGATGAATTTGTTAGTTAGGCAGTATTATTTCACATATTGATTAAATGTTGTATTAATTTTGATGTGCGAAGCATCGCATATTAGTTGTTACCTATCCCAGGCGTACGCTGCTGTTGTCAGATGGGTCAGAACAACAACATGGATTGCTTCTAAGCTACCATAAATCTGAACACATGCTTGTGGAACTCTTTTTCCTGCTGCTCTGACAACTGCCTTTTCAAGAAAACTGTTGTGTATGTACTGCAGAGATTGAATATTAGCAGTATAAAATGGAAGGGTTTTTTGTTGGTTTTCTTTTGTGGTTTTTTTTTTATAGTACAGCTTTTTCTTAGCTAAAGCAAGCCATCACTGTGTAGAATATCCCATGGAACCGAGTACAGGCAAGATTTTTGGGAAGGCTGTAGAGAATGCTGACAGTTACAGTGAACTTAAACATCTGAGTAAAATCATTATCCTGTTGAAATAAATTGCTCCAATTAAGTAAATAAAAATTATACTAGCGCGTCTTTGTTTCTGAAACTTAATTGCCGCATCCTGTCTAGCAGAAAGTGGCAGAGTTAATGTCTCCTAAGGAGGAGACTATCACAGATGCCAGAGCTTGGAAGTGAGAGTCTGAGAAGTCTAGGTAACTTCGAAATTTTAGACTCTCTTCCAGAGAGAGAAGAGAGAATTTAAAATTTAAATACATTGAACTATTTTTAAGTGATAACTGAACTTTTAACTATTTCAAGGGGTACTTCTCAGAGAATAGAGTTACAATATTGTACTTCTGATTTAAGAGATTCTATGAATAGATTTCAAGCCACCTTTTTTTTTTTTTTTTAAAATCTGTTTAGCCAACGCCAGTGCTTCCAAAAAGGGCACATGCCTACAAGCCACATCCTGCATGCAGACTGTTGTCTGTGAGACTACCTTGCATGTCAAAACAAAGAGAAAATAAAAAATTAAAGCAGCTAAATGTTTCTTGAGGCATACAGCTTAGTGTTAAGCTCAGGAAGTTGTGGAGTATTGCTCGAAGGTGATTGTCAAATGTGTGGAAAAGATGAACAGAAATGTTGCTTGCTGTTTACTGGTTAAGTTTGAAGTGACTTGCAAATGTGCATTGTATTCAGTTTTTCTGCTTGCTTATTCAGCTTGTCAGAGTTTTCTATTAAGAAGTTTTTCCTCTTCTATTAAGTTATATTAATACTTATTTTTCTGGTCTGAAGATAGCCTTTATTATGCTGTTAATAGTTACCTTCTAGTCACAAATAGTTTTCCAATGTCTAAACTGGCACATTACACACTGTTAAAACACTTTTGCTTATAAGATAATGAAAAGTTTGAATTGTGCATTGCAGATATTTTTATTTTATTTTTTTTAGAGTAATGGAAAAAGATCCTTTCCATGCAAATTGTTTACCTGTGCATATAGGGACACTCGTGGAGCTTAATAAAGCAAATGGTAAGAAACAATCTTTAATATGAGTCAAAAGAGGATTTTAAAGCTTTTATTTTAATAAATAATAAAAGATGCCTAGAAACCTCCTTATATACCATTAAAAATAATTATATCTATTTTTCCTCCTACCTGCAGTTCCAAGGAAACAGTGGTAATTGGCAAAGAAGGGAATTGCAGAGTTGACAGGGGGGCTGAGGGGAGTAGTTATGCAAAGGGTCTTTATTCATTCGTGATCATGAGTGTCACTGTATTTTAACCACTGGGCTATATAGGCAGAAATGTGGTGAGCTTATACTGCTTCTTTTCTGTTTCATTTCTGTTTTAAGGTGGTGTTCCTCAAGTATCTAGGTGGTTTCTAACCTGCTCAGGAACAAAATAAAATATATTAATTTAGACTAGAAGGAACTCTTCAGCAGTGTGTATGCTTGGGTGGACGTGGTTTTTCCAGAACAGAAAATAATTCAGTCTTTTTTGGCCTTTGCTGTTATGAAGGCCTCTTTTAAGTTCAAACAAGTTAATAATCATGCAGCACCTTCGTTGGAATTATAAGAATAGCTTACTTGCAGCTGCGATGGCTTTTTCTCATTTCAGACTGCATATAAACATCCAAATCAAGTGAGGAACTTGAATGTCTTTAAAAGCAATTGGAAAATACAATAAGGAGCTCATATGATTTGCAGTCTCTCAAAGGATGGTGCATTGTATGTACACAAAGAGGTCATTAGGTGTACTAGTACTGCTCAGTGTTTAGTAAATGTACTTTTCAGTTACTTTACAGTTAACTGCATCTGAAAATGCGGCCAATGCTGATTTTTCTTCTGAGTCCGCCTTGAGAAGCATCTTGTAAATAAGTTGATATTTTGTAAGCCAGTTTTCATATTTGATTTTTCTGAAGCCAAGAACCGATACAAAGTACTCCAGGAAAACCTCATCCATTTAAGAGCATTTTACTCTGAAGAAATAGAAGTTTTATGTATCGTAATGTTATTTCTTTTGAAATTGCATAGGCAATAGAAGTATTGCCCCGTATCTGATTACTTCTGCTGTTATTAGAAAATCTGTAGGAAGTTATTCTAATAACTAGAATTATTACTTTATTAGAAAAGCAACAACTTAGAATTATTCTATTTATTTGCTGATGTCCTATTTTCAGCATATTAATGCAGAGGATTCTACTGGCTAGATCAATTTAATGTACCTTTTAGATGTAGAAAGTTCAGTAGTGTTTCATCTTGGCAAGATATATTTAAGTGTAATACTACAGGCATTTAATTTAGTGTACGTTAATGACCTAAGTTGTTGCAGAATTCTTCAGGGTTGGGATGTATAGCTGCTTATTTATGTGCTGTGAAGACTGATGGGTTGGGAGGTTTGTTGTATTTTTTAGTTAATTGCAAAACTGCATCTATTTTGAGGCATTGCCACTAAAGAGAATTTTTTTTCACTTGTGCATTAATAACATTAAGTGCTCTGGATATTTTGTATAGAAAGCTAAAGGGCTTGAAACATCTTCATGTTTTAGGACATTCTAATTTTCTTTTCTTGTTTCTTTCCACTATGTAGAGCTTTTCTATCTTTCTCACAAACTGGTGGACCTGTACCCAAATAATCCTGTAAGTTGCTCTAAGCCTTAATTACCAGGTAGTTTTTTTCTAAGTGAAAGCACATAAAAATTGCATTGTAGTAGTCAGTTTGAGCAACAGAATTAAAAATCTGTTTCTGGATGGAGCTAGTAAAAATTGTTCACTCCTTTTATTGTATGCGCTGTAGTTGTCTTACACCAAAGTTCTTATTAAAAAAAAAAAGCACCTATAAAATATATTCAGTGTGAGGTATTAACTTTGAATAATGCTTTAAAAACAAAACATGCCTCTCTGAGCAACCTTTTCCAATGTTTGATCACCTACACGGTGAAAATTGTTTCCTTTTACTCAGTCTGAATTTCCCATGTTTCAATATGTACCCATCTCCCATCACTGCACTTCTGAGAAGAGTCTGGCTCTGTCGTCTGTATTCCCCACCATTAGGTAACTGAAGACAGCAATAAGCTTTTCACTCATCTCTCTCTTCATGAGGCTGAACAAACCCAATTAGAGACATAGATGCCAGTAGTTACAGCTCATCTGTAATACTAGTATTTTTAAAAGTTGACTGATTTCAATGAAAATCTTCCTAATGTCTCTGATTATAACCTGTTCCTCTGTTTTGTCACCTGTGGTTATATTTCACTAAAAATCAGTGTGATATATCTAATAATAATCTATTTTGATTTTAACACCTAGGTGTCATGGTTTGCAGTAGGATGCTACTATCTCATGGTTGGCCACAAAAATGAACATGCCAGAAGATATCTCAGGTAAATTACTCTTTTTTTTTTTTTTCCCCAATTTTCCTTAGCAAATCTGTTGCTCACTTGCTAAAGAAATATTTAACATTCTTGATTGTAAGCTCATAAACAGAAGCTTTCATGAACTGCTTACTATTAAGAAATGCCTTTTGTTGACAGCCTTTTTTTGGTGTAGCAATTAAGACCTCAGCCTTCTAGATGCTTTAAAAATGACATACGGATTTCTGTGGAATCTCTTTTGGCAGTCACCTTTCCTGCTATTTGCAGTTGCTCGTGCTGCCAGGCTAACTACAGCTAGGCATTCAAGCCCCAGCTCTTATCTTAAGAACATCCAGGCATCCTCTCAGGTTCAGGTTACATATTTTACAGGGAAGAGTTAGACAGAAAACTGTAACATTTGGTATCAGAGAGGAGAAGGTGGACAATGGGGAAAGCTTTTGAACAGATCAAAGCTCTGTAGGATATAGAATGGGAAGATGCAGATTTTTGAATATTTAAAGTTTTGTCCCAGACTGTTCTCTAGGCCTTGTGATGAGAAATAATGTGTTCTAACTGTGACAAACAAGATACAGACTAAATGTGAAGGAAAAATGAAGTGTCTAAGTGTAGTTAAGCAATAGGATTGATTACTTTCGGAACATGTAGGATCTTCACGTCAGAAGCCTTTAAGAAAAGATTGGGCACATTTGTCATGAGCTATTCAGTTATGAATGCCCTTGCCTGCAGACTGAGGAAATACCCTGCAGAGCTTTCTAATGTTCATGTCAAGTCCATCTTCCTGTAAAGACTCCAGGTCGCAGTCTAGATGCTCAGGACTGGAGTGACTTTTATGTACTTGTCTGATGCATAGCAACTGTCTGTGATTTGACAAATAAATACTCTTGTCCTCATTAAGGCTAGTACAATTATGTCCAAAATGCGGCACACAGTTCAATCTTAAGAGTTCATTTGGTATTTTCATATACTACATGTTGAACCTTAGGTTTGCTACAACGTATTTCTTTTGAAATGTATAACTAGAACTTTGTAATACATTATTATTCACTACTAAATTTTTCTATATTTTGTCCAAGTCACTTATTACGTAATTATTTATGTTCAGTAATATCAAATAATTCCTGCTGTACCTGAACAGCAATAGAAATAATACATTGAATTCTTGCAAATGTGCGATACGTTAAAGTACTAAATAGTTCGTTGAACTTTTGTTTACCAGTGGTTACCACTGGTCATTTCAGAAGAGTATCTTGATACCGAACTATGTGGCATAGCATTGCTATGTGTAGTCATCTGAAGCAGATGAAATTTAATTTCAGGTGTGTTTGCTTGTGACCTGCTCTTGTTTTTAGCAAAGCTACTACACTCGAGAGAACCTACGGACCTGCATGGATAGCATATGGGCATTCATTTGCAGTTGAGAGTGAGCACGACCAAGCAATGGCTGCATACTTCACAGCTGCACAGCTTATGAAAGGGTATGTCCAAAATGTCATATTCAGAAAACTAAACATAAATAAATCATTAACATTATTCCATAAATAGTGTAGAATATTGACCTAGATCCCTTTAAATAGAAGGAATACATTTGCAGCACTTACCTGGTAGAGACAAAAGGAGTAAAAACCCAAATATTTCCATCTGCATTATTATCATTGTGGGGTTTTTTGAGTTCTAAAGTCAAGATTTGTATTTAGGTGAACTATGTTCTGCCTGAAAGTTCTCTGAAATTTGTGAATCATGTTTGTCATACCAGGTCCTAAACTGCTGTATAATAACACCTTGAACAGCTGTTTCATGCCATGGAGAAGGTTGTAAAATGAGTAGTTGACTAATCATGTCATATTGTGTATAAACTGTTATATTTGGTTGTGGCTATTGGTAAATGTAATACCTTTGCTATTACTTCTTCCATGTGCCATTTGTAAGTGAAATGTAGATGGGTATTAGGAAAAAAAGCCCTCAGAACTAACTTAAGCACTGAGAAAATACATGTAATTCCAGAGCAAGTTACAGTTATGTATTGGGGTGCAAGTTCTTCTCAATAACTAACAGAGATGTAAAGTCTTTTAAACTGCCCCTTTGGTTAATAGTCCATTTAAATCTTATTTTTACTTGGATGTACATGAACATACGCAAACACAGTTGGCATTTATTTGTAGTTTGTGATGCCATTCCTGATAAGTGCATGGTATTTTTGTTTTTTAATAGGTGTCATTTGCCAATGCTCTATATTGGACTGGAATATGGCTTGACCAACAACTCAAAGTTAGCTGAAAGGTTTTTCAGCCAAGCTTTAAGCATTGCACCTGAAGATCCTTTTGTCATGCATGAAGTTGGAGTGGTTGCATTTCAAAATGGAGAGTAAGCTTTCAAAATTAGATTAAATACAATCTTAGACATGGATAATTCTGAAGTGTAATGTTCCAATATACCTACTAAAGTTCTTTTATTGAGCTGTAGAATACAAAGTTTCTTTTGGTTCTGGTTTAGATGGCATTTACCATTAACTCTTGATTTCTATATTGTTCTTCCTTGTTTAAGATGAAACAAGGATAGAATTTAATACTTTAGGAACATGCAGAGGTTGATTATTATCTTGTGTGAGGTAGTTGCATGCCTTGAAAAGGCATCTGTCTGCACACACAAGTGTACACATGCTATAAAATTTTGTACGGCAAATTAATTTTTGTCACCTCAGGGAGGTTCCAAATATATTCTAAAAAGCCCCAAACCTATCAGATGTGAAAACTCCTTAGTGAATATTCTTGGTTTGCTTCTGATTTTTTTTAACTTAGTCTTGTTAGCTTCTAGGAGCATGTGCAAAATATAGCCAAATTTAAATGACTGGTTTTTACAGCTAATTTCACTCTTACTATGAAGTAATGTCAAAACACTAGTACTTGTTATACAGTTTTCTCATACTGCTAATGCAAACTCTTCACTAATTTACTTTTTCCCCACCTCCTCAATTCATAGCTGGAAAACTGCAGAAAAGTGGTTCCTTGATGCTCTGGAAAAAATCAAAGCTATTGGAAATGAGGTATTTTTCCTAATAACATGCACAATCATAAATTTGTAAAATTTCATAAAATTCTTTAACATTTGACAAAATGTGTTGTCCTTATTTTAAGGTAGAAGCAATACAATATAAATTTTACTTTAAAACTTGGATCATCTACTTATAGTTGTGTATACTGGGTTTTGAGATTGAAAACATCACACATTATCTTCAGTGCTACAGGAAAAGGCAAAAAGTATGATTCTTTATAAAATGAAAATACGTGTTAACTGGAGGGTGGAATCCAGATTTCATTCTCAGTCTTGGGTCTCAGTAAACCAATGATTCTTGACCTAAAGGTGGAACTGGGTACACATACGGAGGTGGTTTCTACCACCTTAAGCATTAGCTGTTTCTTGAATTATGTCTAGTTTTGTTTGGACACGATCCTGTAGGTATGGATTTGTTTTCTTTCTAGCAGATAAAATCACTGTGTGAGAATGGGCCCAGGGATGCTTAACTGATTTCCTGAAAGTAATCAAAAGTAATCACTGGCAAAAAAGTTTGCCAGGAAATGTGTTTGTAGTTTTCATGATTTTGTGACTTGAAAGTCAACCATTATAACCCTGATTCCTCAAATGCTGAAACATGAATGTGTTTGTGTCTTGTCATCTTGTCTAAAGAAACACATTATACTAGAGTAACTTAAGATTCCTTAATGAAAGTTGTACTACCTTGTGTCAGGCTTCTTGTGAATTTTCAGATAGATTTTCTTGATTTTTTTAGCTTAAATTTTGTTAATGAGGACAGCACCTCATGCTTCTATAACTGTTAACAAGGCATCTCCTACTGAGATAATTGCTTCTAATACAAAATCTTATATAAAGTGGAAAGCTCTGAAAAAACTATAATCTTCACATGAACTAGGCACACATTCACTGAAACAAACTGCACAGATACTAATTTATACATTCACCAATATATAAATAGGGTTGGTCTGTTAGTTAAAGCTGCATTGTTCATGTGAATACCACAAACTTCATAGATCATGCTTAAACATATGCATATGGCTAAGTTGTTTTATGTGTGGTGTTTTTCTTGCTTATTGGGAAGTACTAAATAGCAAGATATCTATTACACACAAACAGAAATTTAGAATTGGAATGGGAAATGCCTAAAATAACTAGAGATTCAAAGATACTCCTACATTGTTATATATCACAAATCTGCAATGCAGTCAAGTCCAAATGTTTTTTAATATCAGCAAAAATTGTTTTAAGGATTGTGTTGGCTCAGATTGTCCTGTGTGTGCCTTGTAAATAAATTAGCTCATTTACAGCTGAGAGACCATGGAGAAGACAGTAAAAAGAACTTTAGTACTTATGATAATTTTACAGGCACAAATTTGAGGGCTCTTCAGTGCTCCTAGACTGAGAGACTTAATACGATTTTTAAGTAGAAAACAAATTTTATTTTGTTTTACTACCATTGATCTTTTCAAGAAATTTAATTTGGACAATGGAAAAATTAGTGTTTAATTAATGCTTTGACATTAAATGTTTTCTCAAAAGAAGTGAAAATGCTTTTGATATTTTGCCTGGTCATGAATTAATTGCCTTGTTCATTTGTATGTTTGTTTTAATGCAATCAAGATTCAGTTATAATCTGGGAAGCTGCAGTTGTTTGAATTGTTGCATTATTTTGCAGGTAACAGTTGATAAGTGGGAGCCTTTACTGAACAACTTAGGACATGTCTGCAGAAAACTCAAGTAAGCAGAGAGTACTGGAGCTACATTTATCTGGAATACTACACAAATGTGTTTTCTCTTGGTCTGCTTCTCTTTTATGTCAAGGTTATGAGAGCATGTGTACAAGAGCACATGAGAGTGGTGTAGAAGCAGCTTTCTAAGAACAAGATTCCCTAAATCAGCTTGGGCACATAAATACTTTAATCACCACTTATATCCAGTTTACTACATGCAACTCAAAAGCACTTCATGTGAAAGCTCTTCCTGAACTGTTGATTCTTATTGGAAATTTGGCTGTAGACTTTTAGATCATTATGTGATTCTGAATTCTAACTGGCTGCTGTCCCAGTCCTGACATACTGGAATATGCCTACTGATTTAATAAACATAAAAGTGGTTTTGTGATGATTGTTTGGCTCAGTGTTTATGGTGGTGGTTTTTTTTTTTTCTTGAAGTGAAATAATCAGTGACATTAACACAGCAATAACATATTACTTTATGTAGTAAATACCATACTACTTTATGGTTTTTAAGAACACATTTTCCATTCTAGGAAGAGGAAAAGAAAATGCAAAGCACATACGCAAGCTGTAATAGTTTTTAACATACATAAGTACTTTCTGTATTTCCTTAATGTGATTTTTTTTTTTTTAACCAGTGTTTTGTTTAATTGGTACTGTATGGTTGGTTTTTTTCGTGTCATGCTTTTAATTGTCCAATTGTTGTATACTGTAATTTTTGTTTCAAAGCTGCTAATGAGGATATGATTTGTGTAGATGTAAGTTGTACTTCTGCATTGGCTTTGGTTGTAATTGCTTTGTGTTTCAATTGCCAATTAGTCTTAATTTTCATTATGAAATATGGATGTGTAATAGTTAGCCCTTCTGCCAAGATCAAATAGAAGGCACTGCTTTCGGAATCTACTCATGAATTTAATTGCAGTTTTTTTTCAAATATTTCTTTCAGTTAGAATTCTTCTGGTCATTTTCAATTTCTACAGTAATTTAGTGACTGCTTACATCACATTTATGTTCAGAAAGCCAACCTAATGTATTTTTACATCCTTGTAAATCATCTTTCAAGAAAATCAAGCTGAGAATTTGGGCAGCTGTGCATATGCTTTGACATCTTAAAAAATGTGTAATAACTTCATTTACTAGTTTTCATAATATATGCTATTATGAAAACCCCTATTGGATATATGTCTACTCACTTGCATAGTACATGGTTGAAATTAGAAAGCAACATTAAAATACAGGGGTAGTTAATTGGACAGGTAAATACTATGAGTGAAAATAAAATTCAGATACTGGGAAAGTTTCTTGCAACAATCAAAGAGTTGCATAATTTTTCTGCCTCAGTTGCTACTTAATGTCCTCATCTTCGCGTGTAGCTGTTTGCATAATGTCGTTATAACTAAAGGCATGAAAAGTTCTCTGAATAGACAATTGCTATCTTTAATAACTTGGTACTAGGATGTCAAATGTGACAAATCTCTCAGAGTAATGCCATAATACACATTTAATTCTTGTTTTATAAAATAATAAATGCAATAAGCAGTCTAATTATTGGATAATTTTCAAAGAATGGGTGGCTGTGTAATAAGTGTAAATCTTTATTTCTGGTGGAGACAAAATAGAAGTGTTAAAAAGTGCCAGTGTATGTAGCACTTAAGGGTTGTGAAATTTCTGCCCCCAAGAGCTTTTCTCACTTTGAATAATGAGTGATTCAGTATTGCTCCTTCACTCCCCTGGGGAGGAAAATGGAAGTTGAAGAAAGCTAATGTTACAATGAGCAGCATTAAACATCTAAAGTGATTTACCATATCAAATTGCAAAGATCATTTCCAAATGGGGCTTAGCTGTAGGCAGCTGTTTGGCTACATGAGGGGAACGGTGATTTCTCAATTACACCGAGGAAGAAAATTGTCAATATCCTTGAGTCTTTTATGCATTCTATTCCATTCAGAATATAAAGCAATGATTTTTAAGTTCTTGCAGGAGTGTGTGCCACTGAACTAAGGAAAATATCGGTATAAATCTAGAAAAACACATTTCACCCTGAAGCTTACTAATAGATCCTTCTGTATTTAACCTTAACAGGAAATACGAAGAAGCACTGGAATACCATCGCCAGGCACTAGTATTAATTCCTCAAAATGCTTCCACTTACTCTGCCATTGGCTACATACACAGTCTCATGGGCAATTTTGAAAGTGCCGTCGACTATTTTCATACGGTATGTAACTGGCTTAAAGTAATGTGCTGGTCACAGATTCTGTTTGACTGTTTCATTCTTGGAACAGGCAACCAGCTTAGTGTTTATTTTATATTCCCAATTCTGGGGGTTTTTTACATATTTTCTTTTTAAATCTTGCTAAGTTTTCAGTTGATTAGGAAAAAAAATGGCCACTTAGTGAAACTTCGTACTTGAATCCTTCTTTGTTTACTTACGGAAAACTTCCTATGCAGCTGAAATAGTAAAATACTTTAAACCTTTGCCTTGAAGTAGAAATTTTACTGCAAGTGCAATATATAAAGATATGTTATTTTCTCTTGTCTCAGGTTTATCTTTATTATGTGATACTTGTATATTATTATTGCAGGGCAGGTTTGGTGATTTTACATTTTCGCAAAGTAACAATGAATTTTCCTCAGTTGAATTTTCAGCATTGAAGTTGATTGGCTTGAATTTAGCTGATGTTCTATTTACCTAGAAGCTTGTGTTATGTATTTAGCTGTAATTACTTTAAGCATGTCTCAATCTATTTTGTTACAGATTGTAGCTCAGTTATATGAAATTAACTTCCTAATAGGTTTCAGAAACATTATTTTAGTAGTATGTTATACTTTATGATTTCTAAATGATTCTCTGTCTGCATACATATTCTTTTCTGGTTTTGTTTTTGTGATTTGCTTATTACTTCAGCCAGTTCACAAGACAATACTACTTTGGTTGTGCAATGTTTTGCTTTTATAGTGAAGACTGCTTTGATAGCACTGTTGAGCAACAAAACAAGAATCTCAGAATCACTGTGGACTTAAGATGTAAATGGTTTTATTTGCTACTAAATACTTTTAACTTTATTTTTATTTTAATAGGCCCTTGGTCTTAGGAGGGATGACACGTTTTCAGTCACAATGCTTGGACATTGCATAGAGATGTATATTGGTGATTCTGAAGCCTACATTGGTAAGACTTCCGCTTATGTGACTCTTAAAGTCATCAAGTCCTTTGAGAAGAACTGTCTACCATTACCTAGTTAACTTACAAAGTAGAGTATGTTTTGTTTTAATTTTTTTTGTTTAATGGCTAAATGAGTCCCAACCTACCAGCAATTGCAGGTAACCACTGGGTTTTTCAAGCATCATGACAGTAAATTCTTACCAGTATAAACACTTTCCCATTGGAGGTGGTGGTGGTTTCTTTTATATACAGTATTGATTCATGGCAGCTTAGAAACCAAAGGGAATGGGGAAAAAAAACAATAAACAGAAATAAGGAGCTAGAAACTCAGAGGACTTGATTACAGCTAATGCTGCTGTAGAGAAGTATGGGCAAGGCATTTTCAGCACGTCAAAACTCTGTTCTGTGGAGACAAGATAAATTCTTCTGCCTCCAAAAATAGAGCTTTACATATGGGGAAAAAAAATTCTTCATAACACTAAAACATTATGTTGCCATAGTTTGAAATACTCTATGAAAGCTTTCTGCCCAACACCCCTCCCCCCCGAAAGCTTTTTACTAATGTATTTCTACTTCATTGAACTTGGTGATTTATCTGTAATGAACACAGTCGATGTCCTGTCAAGCATGTTAATGAGGTTGAAGCCAGTAAAAGCCATCTGTGTGCTCTGTTGCTTTTCCTGCAGATTTTTCACACAACTGAAGCAGATGTTTCTTCTCAATGTTGTCTTGCTCCGTAGGTAGATGGTTAACACATCTGGAAGAACCATGCAGCTGTGTGATATGCATTAATCCAAACCATGCTGTGTGTAACTTAAACAGCAACAACAAAGAAGCCTCTTAGAGAATTGGGAAGGGAACTGGCAATTACTTCTAATAAGACTTTTGAATCTGAGTTGTACGTCTTGAATTGTGCTTTTTTCAAAAAGGAGGCTGCTGGATTTTTTCAGAACCACTCTATTCAACTTCAGTCATTAAGCAGAAGCAGCTTTCTGTTGGTCTGAAAGCAGAGAATCATTGTAGTGTCTGGATAACAGTTTCTTTGAGATAGATTTTTGGAATAAACTAATTTGGAATAAACTAATTTGGAATTTGGAATAAACTAATGGTTTGCCTGTTTTCTTAGGAACAGAGATCAAAGACAAGTTAAGATGTTACGACTTTGATGTACACACAATGAAGACATTAAAGAACATAATTTCACCTCCCTGGGATTTCAGAGAATTTGACATAGAAAGACAAACTCTGGAAGAAAGTGGCATAGTGACATTAGAGACATCACATCAAAGGAAAAGTACAGATACCAGTCGCCCCCTGGAAGAAACATTTGAGATTGAAATGAATGAAAGTGATATGATGTTAGAAACATCAATGTCAGACCATAGTACATGACCATAACTACTGGTAGAGAGCTCATTTTGTCTAAGTGGAATAATATGTTTGTTTTAGCATTTTTGTTATGGTGTTATACTTTCAAGAATTTGCTATTTTTATATGAATTCAAACGACTACTCTGTACTTAAGACCGGAGAAATAATGCTTGCCTTAAGGATGATTAAACAGTAAACATGATGGACTGTTTCTACAGAATTAATCATACACAATGAAGTAAAAAATAAATTCACCTCTTTTTTTAAACTGTTTACTGATCCATGTGTCTGCCATCAGTAAGACTCTGAAGGTTTAAAAATAGTACTTAACATTTGCAGTGTTGTTAAATTGAAGAGCCAGTCTAATATAGTATTATTGTGGCTTCTGAATTTTCACCTTGTCTGTGAGGATTGCTTTCTTAGTAAATAGACAAAAAAAATAATCCATAAAAATTTATACTTACTGCTTTATATATATGTATTCCTCTAAGGAGCAATTTCAATGGTTTTCCATCGTCTGTCTCTTAATTTGGCATATATTAAGTTGATGACAAAGCTTTAATGGATGACGAAGCATGTTACGTTGTTAAACTTTCTCCTCAATATTATTAATTTCAGTTCTTCATCATTATTCTTTATTGTATTACTGAAAAAGATAATTTACAAACTCTTTTTGGTAAGCTGACTAGACAACAAACTTGAATGGCATAAACTCGGTGTTATCAGTCAGTCTTACTTGGCAATTAGTGTTAACAATAAAGTTGTCAGCCACAATGTGCTACTGTAGGGACCACAGTCATTCTCTTTACACGTAGTTGTTTTGTCAGTTCAAAGGATTAACTGAATAATACACATAAACAGTTTTTACAAGTCTCTGAAGTGTGGTATTTTTTTATGTCATTGGTTCCCTGAAAAATGAAGAAGTAAAGCCTATGCCTCTGAAACAAAAGAATTGATTTCTCCATCCACTAAACAGGACGGGTCTTTTTGCCTTCTTAGCATGAATGTTGAACGTGTTTTGTCTAACTTTTTCCCTTCTTCCCTTTTCCACATGTGTCACTGTGTGGGGCTTAAAATTAAAATCTTAATGCTACAAGCTGTCATAGTATTTTCTTTTGTGATTTCCAGGTACGTTTTGGCATTTAATGTTTAGAACAAATTACCAGAAGTTTAGCAGTCCAGACTTCAATGTGAAGTACTTCAGGACTCAAGAACTAGCAATTTTTCTGTAGACAAATATTTCTCATTTGTTTGAGTCAGCAAAATAAAATCATTGTCTAAAATGTAATTTCTAAATCATATCACAGGACATGTGTGTTAACATTAAAATACTTCTCAATTATACTTTTAGCATAAAACCATATATGCTTGGTTATTGTGATATGTTCATCTACTGGGGCAAGGTATAAAAAAACCTGATGTATTAGTGTGACTCAAATTATTTCCTATACACGTGGCACTTTATGTAACTAAGAGGAGAAAAGGGCTGAATTTAAGTACCTGTATTGAAAGCTTACTGTCATTTTTGCTTTCCAGCAGTCCCTCTGTCTTGCTTTATGGTCGTTTTAACTTTTAAGACAGACAATGTTTAATTTTAATTTTGCCAGTGATTGGATAGCAAAGAATGGGCTGATTCTGTAAACTTCTGAGTGTTTTGTTGTTTGGTTGTTTTGGGGTTTTTTTTAAATTTTGTATAGAGTTTTGCACAAACTGGAAAATATAAACTACTACTTCTCATCCCACTACATCTGACTCATGGCTCATTAAGTTCTTAGTGGCCAGGTTCTGAATCCTAAAGGAATATACACTTAGAAACCACTACCTGGAAGAAATTGTTAGATGGGAAGGCCTTAATTTATCTGAGGATTTTCATTAGCCAGTCTGAGCTACCTGCTAGTGAATCAAAATGCTGATTTGACTTTTCCCCCTTACTTGCCTACTGTGTTGCTCAGATGGTTTTTTTTGCCATGACAGATGATCTCTTCATTCTTTGGATCTTTATCTGATAGTGCTCTCAGGAATCCCCATCTGGATCAGCAAGCCTGCATCTCATCCATGCGGGCCACGTCCATAGTTTGAACCCAGGGTATTGCCTGTTTTCCATGTGTCATAAATCTTTCTCCATGTTCAGATCCCCAGATGGAGCCCAATTCACTCCCTCAGTTTCTTGGGCCGTAAACCACCCCTGGTGTCCTTAGAATGTGCAGATACCTCACTTCTCTCAAACAAACTATATATTACCTGTATTGAAAGCTTACTGTCATTTTTGCTTTCCAGCAGTCCCTCTGTCTTGCTTTATGGTCGTTTTAACTTTTAAGACAGACAATGTTTAATTTTAATTTTGCCAGTGATTGGATAGCAAAGAATGGGCTGATTCTGTAAACTTCTGAGTGTTTTGTTGTTTGGTTGTTTTGGGGTTTTTTTTAAATTTTGTATAGAGTTTTGCACAAACTGGAAAATATAAACTACTACTTCTCATCCCACTACATCTGACTCATGGCTCATTAAGTTCTTAGTGGCCAGGTTCTGAATCCTAAAGGAATATACACTTAGAAACCACTACCTGGAAGAAATTGTTAGATGGGAAGGCCTTAATTTATCTGAGGATTTTCATTAGCCAGTCTGAGCTACCTGCTAGTGAATCAAAATGCTGATTTGACTTTTCCCCCTTACTTGCCTACTGTGTTGCTCAGATGGTTTTTTTTGCCATGACAGATGATCTCTTCATTCTTTGGATCTTTATCTGATAGTGCTCTCAGGAATCCCCATCTGGATCAGCAAGCCTGCATCTCATCCATGCGGGCCACGTCCATAGTTTGAACCCAGGGTATTGCCTGTTTTCCATGTGTCATAAATCTTTCTCCATGTTCAGATCCCCAGATGGAGCCCAATTCACTCCCTCAGTTTCTTGGGCCGTAAACCACCCCTGGTGTCCTTAGAATGTGCAGATACCTCACTTCTCTCAAACAAACTATATATTTAAACCACTCCTGGTGTCAGATATCTCGCTTTTGTCAAACAAACTATATACTTCTAACACTAGGAGATATATATATACCAAACCCGACACTGTGTTTCTAACACTAGAATGCGAAATCAACACTACGTTTCCTTTCTAACAAGGTGTCACGTCAGGTGTGACTGCGCTGCTGTAGGAGGTGGGAGACGGAGGGGGCTTGGGCCAGGCCTCGGCACCCGGGCAGGAGCCCGCCGGTGTAGGCTGGGACCCCAGAGGGGCACGGACACCTTCCCTGCCCTCCCACCAGCTCCCTGCTGGCTCTCTGGGCTGCCTCCATGTGCCGCAACCTTCCCTGCGTGTGGCGGCCTCTGGAGGCTCCAGGGAGACCCTTAGGAAGGCAGGGACGTCCTGCTCAGCAGGGCCCGCACGTGGGGTGACGGTTGTAAGCTGAAAACGACGGTGGGTTGGGACGGACGAGGCCCCGCTCTCGCGAGATCCCGGCAGCGCAGCGGCCCCTTCTCGCGAGGTGCCGGCCCGGC